CTGCATATGTACGTCTATAGAAGCATGTTCGGTTTCTGCAAGAAATTCTTTGTATATATAACAAAAATGTTATTGGGGATATCTGGTCATATTTTGACTCGTTAAATAGTTTTTGCCGGTCAATTCGGTTTTTAAACCGATTAAAGTCAAGTTAACAAATTTTAACTCTTTGAAGATCAGTAGCAAAACACACAGCCTTCGCTACAACTTCTTCGATGTCTGATATACTGCGTTATAACTACCTAAATAAACTTATTATGTCATTAACATACTTTTTGCAGGAAGAATACATTAATATATCCTTTATTATGTGTAGAAAGATAAGAGATAATGCATCACAATACAAGATCTTTTTTATCGATTTCGATTTGTAGATATAAGAAATATTTCAACCATTATAATGTTATAATATAAAAAGTATTATTATACTTAGAATATATCAGGTCAAACAATACATAAAGGACAGAGCCCAGAAGCTATATGCGTCAGTGAAGATGGGTGGGACTCTGCAGAAACCCCCCAGCTATCAAAGAGTAAAACTGACTAGATGCATTAACTCGGAAAGGCTCAAAATAATAATAATAATAATAATAATCTGCTTATAATAAAGTACATATATATATGAGAAGGATATAATATTTATACAACACTTTATTATTTAATGAATATTAAAATACGATTTTTTAAATATATAAACTTAAACACTGACTGGGGTTTGCATTCTTTGTTAGAATTACTTCACTCATACGAGAATTATTGTAAATTGTTTAAAATTCTAATACAATAAAAAAATCTAAGATATTATTAATTTATTATCGGTACTGGAAGTAAAAATAGATTCAACAAGTTTGTTTTCGAATAACAAACATAAACGCTTATTCAATTGATTAAAGCGATTATTTCATATTATTTTTTTATTCAATAGTTTTTTATGAGCAAATTAAAATTGTTTATATATATTTATACATAATTGTTTTCAATACAAATATATGTAGATATATATTTATCTTATTTATTTATTTGACCTTGCTTCCTTGATATTCATGAAGTTTTCGTAAGCGCGCATAAAGAATTTTCAAAACAATTTTTTTTTATAATAAAATTGTTGGCAATTAATGATTTTGTTTGGAATTTTAAAAACAAAATTTAATTAAATTTTATTCTAAAAAATACACACAATATGCAAGTATTTAACTGAAAACTTAAGTACACAAAATCCATTGTTATTTTTCGCTTTTATGTATTTTTGTAGAAATACCAGAGCTTCATTGATTAAACAAACTCAAATATATGTCTGTATGTATGTATATATGTAAGCATATGTGTGTTAATGTAAATGTTTTGAAATCATTAGTAAAAATTAGAACAAAATGTCAAAACAAATATTTGCTTATACGATAAGTATTTATGTTGATTTTTATACAAAACTAATATGTATTTATATCTCTTTTCTATTTGCAGAACTACGAACAGTTTGTTCACACTTAACCAAGAAGATATATCTTCATCCCCTTTTATCTTACCTCCTACAAGCAAATCCTGCAGCATGAACAAACTCTGCCGTCAAGTGTCAATTGAATCACCTGGACCAGTTGCAAAGAACTGTGTCTTCAACTTCTATGTACCCATTGAAGATACACCACCTATGGGTGCTCGGATTAAAATTGTATGTGCTGGTGCTTGTTATAGGCGTCGAGATCGTGCAGCATCTCTAACAAGTATGTCATCCGTTTCATCTGACCTTAGCGATTATTGCCCTTCGATAACAACACAAACATCACCAGCACATCAAGGTATACGTGAGGGTTCTCTATTTCCTGGTTTCGAAGTAGCTGGCGTTATTGAATCATTAGGTTCAGAAATAACAGAAGCCAATAATTGTGGTCTACAAATTGGACAACGTGTAATAGTCTATCCATTTGATGAAGCCCCAGCGGGTTATGCCGAATTAATGGTAGTACCAGATCTCAAAAATATTGTTCCAATACCAGATAGTTTACCAATAAGTGTAGCTGCCATGCTACCAACAGGTGCTCTTTTAGCAATGAATGCTGTATTCAAAGCGCATGCCATTGTCACAGAAATGCTTAAGAAGCGTTCAGCTGAACAAAATAATAAAAAATGTAAAATTCTAATTGTCGGGACTGGTGGTCTTGCTCTATGGGCTGTACGTATCGCTTCCTATCATTTTGCTTCAACTGGAGCAAATAATTTTATTGATGTAACAGTTGCTAGTCTAAGAGATGAAGGATTCCGTTTAGCAACAGAAATTAAAGAGTATGTTTTTTGAAATATATATAAAATAGTTCATAATTATATTTTTAATTTATTTAATATTTACAGTGTTAGTGTAGTTCAATGGAACGAATGCCTCTACGAACCTCAACTAATAGAACGTACAAAAGATGTTTGTGGTGGTCCTGTTGACGTAGTTATTGATTTTGGCACAACTTCTAGAAGTCTGCACCGCTCAATGCACTGTCTCTCCAAGGTATATAACTATTAATTTGATTTTTTTTGTGTTTCATTATTTTTATACATATCATAAGAAGATATGTTGGGATATTTTTTTGTACAAGTATGACTAGAAAAGACTAGAAAAAATCTTAAGATTATTATAACGTGCCTACTCTTTTAATCTTAGTCTATGTTCCGAGAGTCTGGCTGCCGTCAGTATCTATATATACTTCGGAAGATACCTTCCGATAGATCATAATATTTAATAATCATTTTTATTAATTCAAAAAATTAGATTTACATTTAAAGTTTCTAATCTTTATTTAAAAAAGATTAGAAATGCATATAAATTTAGAAAAAATAGAATGCATCAGCCTTGAAAATCTAAATTTTTTTTTTAACTATCTTTACATTTTTATGGAATCTTTTAACAAAGCGGAACTCCTGCTTAAATTTGAACATCAAAGTCATTACACATCATCTTATATTGTCTAGTGACTATTAAAACTTTTCAATTTCTTTTAACTTCACCAGAATATGAACTGAGCTTAATTTTCCCCCTACCGTCGATCTAAAGGGACCGTAACCCTAAGGGGTATTGGCCCATTGTGTTACCATATAAGGGAAAATTTAGATAATTGAAAATCACCTTATCCTTTATTAAAAAGTTTAGTAGAGAAAGAACTCTGCAATGTTATGCAGGATGCTAACAGTATACCCATATTATTTAAATGTTCCAAATGATTTTCTGAAGCACCCAGTCTCGCTAGCTTATCTACTTTGCAATTTCTAAACATTCACACCCTTCCAATCTATTTAAATTGCTTTCCTTTTATGGTTGTAGGGTTTCTCATCCATACATCCAATAGTAGCTTCTCAATACGACCTTCATCTTCACATATTTTCCTAATCATAATAAAAATAATACTGAAACTAAATAAATATTAAACAATTTATATATTGATTTTTCAGGGTGGTGTTGTACTTATTAGTGATGAAGTTGCCGAAAAATTAATGCCGAAATTCTCACGCTTATCTAATGAATATCAACAAGAGATTATACCAATATCGAACGGTTCAGTAAATCAATTACATGATTTAGTTACATTAGTTGCTAATAAAAGTGTAAGTAGTAAAAACTTAAAATTTGCATCTTGAAATGTGTATATTAATATATATATATATTCTTTTTTTAAATTTAGATTGAACCTCCTCCACATTCGGTTTTCCCATGTGAACAAGCTGCAGAAGTTATACAAAAGTTGTGCAATTCAGAAATTCCTGGACGTGCCATATTACGTTTCCACGATATTGAATAAGCATTTAAAAAATATTTAAGTAAAACTTAAGTTTAATTATTGTATTCATAACCAAAATATCTATCACTTAAATGATTTTGCATATTAGTATTGAGCATTTTGATATACTCAAAATTAAGGTAAATAATTCGAGCAGGTGCGATGTTATCTCATTGATTGTTAGTACTAAACTAGTTTAAAACACTAAATTGTTTTTTCGCTTCTATGTTAGATCGCACCTACACTTAATTGAACTTTAAGTTTAGTTTGATACAATTGAATAGGTATTTAACAATTAATTTTTATATTTATTTTTTTATTTTTTATTGTATATAAAATATATATTATATATATATATATATATATATTATGTATTAAAAAAAATTTTTTTTGGCTTTATTTATGCATTAGCATTAACTTTATTATCATTTTTTCTACTGCTTTTAATATATGTAAGATGTATAAGAATAGTCGTTATATATTGTTTATTCCAATATAAACATTTTAAGATATGAAATAATTAGATATGTAATAATTTTTTATATTTAAATTTTTATTTTATTTTTATTTATAAGCGCAATTCACATTTTTTTAAAATAATTCTTATAGCATTTATGAAGAATCTTGAAA